GTTCCAGAGATGAGACAACGAGATTGCATGCGATCTGGAACTCTAGTGATAACAAGAGCTCATGGCATGAAATATCGAGACCACAAATACACGGCTATGAGATTAAATGCATTGCAATGATTGACAGAAATTCCTTTGTTTCCGGTGCTGACGAAAAGGTGTTGCGCCTCTTTAGAGCCACCAAATGTTTTGCTCAAAGTTTGAAACTCATCTCAAATGTTGACATCTCTGATGATATGAGTGAGAAGGACGTGGCTCATAGCGCTACTGTTCCCACGTTAGGTCTGTCCAACGCTGCTGTCTATCAGCCCGAAGATGTTGGACACGATTTTAAGCCAACGATATTAGAGACGCCACCCACTGAAGAGTCACTTCTTCAGAATACGCTGTGGCCTGAAGTCCATAAACTGTACGGACATGTGTTTGAAATGTTTTCTGTGGCCACGAATCCGAGCGCAACGTTAATAGCCTCGGCATCAAAGGCCGCAAAGGCTCAAAACGCAGACATTATTCTGTGGGACATAAAAGAGGCCAAACTTTTGGCCAAACTATCATCACATCAGTTAACAGTCACTCGAATCAGATTCTCAAGTGATGGACAGTATATATTGAGTGCTTCGAGAGACAGGACTTGGAGTCTCTTCCAAAGACAATCTAATGGATTAGATTATTGTCGAATTGGATTCAGTGATAAGAAGAATGGAATCCATTCGCGTATAATATGGGACTGTGCTCTCACTCACGACAGCCAACACTTCGTTACTGTTTCCAGAGATAAGAATGCGATCTTCTGGACAATTGATGCCAATGAATGCACGGAAGGGTCTACTTTAGGACCGGTGGCACCAAATGGTCCACCACTTGCTCTATCAGATTCCATTACAACTGTCGATATCTGTTGCACTACTTTTAATGGCAATTATTTAGTTGCCTTTGGACTTGAAAATGGAAATATATGTCTCTATTACTGGAATAATAAGACATTTTGGACTCATTTACTTGATATTAATGATTGGTATAAATATTTGAATTAAATGAGACTTTTGTGAACTTTAATGAAATTTTACTGTAATTATTAATTGTGAGATATCTTTGTTTTAGTCATACATTAACTGTAAACCGAATACAGTTTTCACCGAAAATAGAGAAGCAAACGGACGGTTGGGTTGTGCTATATATCGCCACTTGTGGTGAAGATAATTGCGTTCATATTTTGAAAGTTAAAATTAAAAGTTAAATTAAATTAAATTAAAAGTTGAAACCATTATCATATGATAACTGTTTAATTTATCTATATATTTATCTATTTATACAATAATTATGATGTATTTTTAATAAAATTGTTGTTTTAAGGCATAAACGTTTAAGTTATTTCATTATATTTGAATTTGTTATCATAAATATACAGTAATCTAAAATGAACCGGACACTAAATTGTTTTATTGCTTCATTGAGGGGTGCATTCATTTGTGTCACTATTCTATACAGTGTTTGTGAACGACTCCTATTCATAAACAATACAAACAAATCAATGCTTTTTTGAAATTAGTTTTGATTTAAAAATTGATTGAATTGTGAATTGAATTGAAAATCAATTAAATTAAGTATCGATTAAATTGTGGACAAAATGGACGGCGATTTGTACGACGAGTTCGGCAATTATATCGGACCAGACATCGAGTCGGACGAAGACTCGGACCAAGACTTGGATGACTCGGACCGGCAATCAGA